CATGGGCTCAGTCCTTGCATTTTAACTCAAGCTGTGATTTACAAAATCTTCCCTTTTCCGGCATGGATATTGAGGCTAAATTCATTCAAGCTTAATGTTTTTGAAGTGACTGGACTTTTTAGTAACAGGGAGAAAGTATAAAACTCAGTCTGTGGGACTCTTTTGATAAAAAATGCGACCTTTGCACAATAATTTAAACTTTGTAGATGAATTATGTCATGAAAGATATGCCAAACACTAGGGAAGGTCTCTTCAGTCACATAACTGAGACATCAAGGAAGATAACATAAAACCTACTAAGATGAACAAAGCTGCCATAGGTCTACTGCAGAAAAAAAATCAGCTTACTGTATATCCAGTAATTCAGAAACAGTGTACTTTAATGGTGTTTCATAAAATACAGAAGGAACAAGGAAAGGAAACCCTATTTTTTAATGACAGTTGATTCATTTAATAATAATAGAACAGTAATGAGTAGCAGTGGATTAATCCATCACTGACTTTGAACAAACATTTTCTTTACACAGTTGAGTGTCTAAACACTGACTACAGATCACTGATGAGATATAAGTGCAGCCAAGGGTCAGAGAGGTATCTAGGTAGCATTTGCCCGTCTTCTAAAGGTGCTTCAGTTCATATATCTGTGAATGAAATTACTTATACATTGTACTAAATATATTTGCAATGAGGAATCAAAAAGAAAAAAAGTTAATTTGTATTTGAATAGGCCATATAGGATAGACTATATGACACTTTCCTTAAGCTCCACGAGACTCAAACTTTAAAGGAAATATCTGGCACAATATGCAATTTCCACTGATTTCGGTGGAAGCTGAGTGGCAGAAATATCGCACACTGTTCTCTTGCAAACCTTGGGTGAGATACACAGAACCTGTGCGCACTGAGTTTTATTTGCTAAGACAGCCTGAAAAATCTGTGCAATTGCTGTTCCTTTCATAGCCAAAAAAATAGCAAGGAGTAGGCACATGTTGAAAAATCAAGGCTTTGGCACTAGAAGGCTGTGAACATGCTGCAAATGTGAAAGGCCGGGTTACACTACGTATATATCACATGGCTCCTGGTTAGGAAAAAAAAACAACAACGTGTTTCTTTTACTGATGACTTAGGTTGCACAAAGTGTATGCCCCCTTTGAGTTTTCAGTTAGGCACTGCACAATTAGTGCAACTGGCGCTGCAGTAATTCTTTGTATGGGGTATACCTCACAGTCACTGAGCACAGTCACCACCAATTCACAAGAATATTTGAGGTGTGTCAGCTGTACCCCTTTCTGGCCTTTCAAATGGAAAAAAATTGCAAAACCGGTTGGGTATAAAGCCAATTGAAGAATGAAGAGCAATAGCTGGTGGGCTCTACCGCAGAGATGACAACAAAAATGAAATTCAAAGTAACTGAAGTCTTCAGGCTTGCTTTCCCTGGCTAGTCTGAGATTTTACAAATAATTATATGAGACACAAGTGCTGTCTAGGATGAACAAGGTCAGAAACTGTTCAAACATAAAATGCCAGACAGGATAATGCAAAGTTGAAACTAACCCTGGGAAAAAATGCGTAAGCTGGAAAAGGGACAATATTTTGTTTTCTGATTGTCTCTCTCTCTCCCTTTCAACCGCTTATTTCTGCATTTCATTTGTACACCCACCTTTGGCTTCATGTAAACCTTGAAACAAGGATGGACCCAATCCTTGAGCCCATCAGCTGGACCCAAGATACCGCTCCTTGGAAGCTGAATTCTGTGTCCAGCTCATTTCAGGCATCCCAGCAATCCACATCATGCATGATCATACAGGTTTAGACCTCAGCAACTTGGAGTATCTGTACTTACTGATCATAACAGACACCGTGTTCACATTAGGGTTGAAAGAACAGCGTCCCTTCCCTGATTCACACTTGGAGTCAATCTTGAAGATTTGTTCCTGCAATGTAGATCTGTGTGTCACTTCTCATTCCAGAAACCATCAGACGTAAAGTGATTTTTATGCTTGTCTGTTCCCAACACTAACAATGCTCAGTGCTGCTGGGCACTTTTGCTGTGCTATCAGTAGTTTAGCTTTCCTATTCAGAATTTCATCACCTTTTTCAAGAACTTTTTCATTAGTACCCAGTTATTTTCAAGACTCTTGTTATAAATTCAAGACACTAAAATGGAGAATTTTTCCCTGTAGCTCAGTTACGCTGTGGAGAGATTAACTGATCTCTGCAATAACATCTGTGGAGGTTACTTCTGTGTTTTTGAAGTTATTTACAATTTATTTGCTGAATACATAATGATATAGGTGCTAGTCTAGGACATTTATAGTAAAACTACTAGAACAATAATATATATTAAATAAAAATCTCTTGTGACTACTGCCATTTGGTGAAAGCATAAATCATTTGCTCTTTATTGAGCTATCAGATCTCCAAAAATCCCCTAAGTCATACTTATTTTCATCAATACCATCTCTTGGATTATGTGCAGAGCTCCAATTCCATAGTGATAGATGATTTATAAATATGTCTTGCTGTAGCCTGAAATCTCTTGGAAATATTTTGCTTTTTAAGAATCTTGGTATGAGGCTTTGTTTATATTTTATATGATTTATAAATAGGAAATCTATTTGGCAAGGTAGAAGCAATCTAGACTACAGCTTGAAATGTAAACAGTTTGAATGTCTTTAGAAAATTCACCTGTTTTGGTGCACCTCCTCACTTCTTGTTTTCCAGCACTACTGAAGAGCACAGTGTGCTGAGCAAGAAAAGAAGGGACTCTTGGGCCCAAGTTTGTTCCTTAAAAAATGCAGTCAGTAACGGCAGAGACATCGATCCGTCACATCTACTCACATACCATTGTATACCAAACAAACAACCTGTTCCTAGGCTCCTATAACAAACATCTAATCTTTAATAGAAGGCCAAAAGGTACAATTGCAAAGGAAAAAAAAAAAAAACAAACAAAAAACCAAACTGAAAACATTGCTGTTTCAATAGAAAAAGGTAGCCGACAAACTCCAAAGAAAGACTTTCTGTGATGTAGATGCCAATATATTATTTATTATTCGAGGAAGGGCTGCAACTCCTTTTATTCCCTTTAATAATTAATGGAAATCACAGGGGAACAGGGATGCCACCCAGATCACTGAGCAGCCATCTGTTGACAGTGATCTGGAGACTCCACCAACCTGAATTGCTCAGCTACAGCAGGAAGTTTTCATATCCATTACCCTCTATGTCTTTTCTCCCTCTTCTGTTTTGCCTAATTTAATCACAGAGATCTTATCTACTCTTTCAGTAATAAGCTCTCTAAACAATGTCAAAACATAAGTATGAAGTTTCTGATACGATCTTCATTTTTTTTTGTTGTTTTATTTCTAGATTAATATGCAGTTGGATGTTAATCCACATTTACTATATTATACCACTATTTATCAATTCAAAATGCCCATTACTGCACTACTAAACCAGCTCCAGGACTACACTTCATTTTCATATATATTAAACTAAGGTTTAACCTATAATTAACTCACATAATGATTACATTTCCTTCTGTTTGTATTTACTTTGACATTAGAATATATTTGGGTGACTAAGAGAGTCATTACCAAAGACCAAAGTATTAAGTGTGCCAAGCAAGAAAATAAATTATTTTTTAACCTCTGTTCCAGGGAAAAGAGCAACACTCTGCCTCACCAATGAAGTCGCCTTTTTCTGTGAGATTATGCGAAATTCCGGAGACAAAAGAGCAAAATAGGCCAGTTCTTATGATTGTTGGACATGACTCTTACTGTCAGAATCTGTAGCTTCTAGAGAAAAACAGATGTGCTTTCTAAAATATCCATTTTGCATGTGCAAAACCAGCCTTAAGTGAATGGAAAACTGTGCTAAATTAAAGGTGAAATGATAAAAGCAGAGAAAAAAATGAGTTCTCAGTAGTCCCATCAGCATTACATAGTTCTTCATTCTGCTCTATTAATTAGTCATGCACTGATATACGCAACAAGTTCAGACGGAAATCCTTGGTTTTAAACTGTTATGCTGTTGTTGGCCTGTACAGTAATGGCTTTGAGCATGCGATGCCTACAGTCAAGTGTCTGACAGACTCCAGATGTCTGAAACAGCAGTTTATTTAATCAATTGATCATAGGCATGTAGCTATACAGACAGGCTAAATGAAGCCAATTCTGCTTTTCCAAGACATGTCTCCTTATTTTTAACTTAAGAAATCTAACATCTTGCATCATCGGGAGATGTCATTTCCCGCCCTTCCCTCCCCTCCCAATCTCATTTACAAAAACCCTAAAATAATGAGATTCAAAGTTCTCTGGGCTACAGTACTACTACTTAAGCTGATAAAGGAATATTACATTAATTAGAGACAAATGAGATCACTTTCCAGGTTTTAAATAATTTTTCAAGGAATAGGATAATGCTGAGGAAAGCTGATCTCAGTTTCAAACTACATCAAAATAAGTTAATGCAGACTCTGTTAACCAGAAGGATGGATTTACTTATTCAGTTCTGCTTGCTTGTGCTTTTAAATCTAGGTCTATGAACCTCCACTTCTAGATAATTCATTAGGACTGAAGGTGCAGTGATTCAGACTACACACTCTGTTAAGGAGGCTGGAGCCAGGCAGGGATCTACCAAAAGTCACTGAGATCATCCCATGCAAACCTACCTAGAGAAACAACAATTTATCACCTCCCTGGCAACCTCTGCAGTAGTCTTGGATCTCGGCCAGAATTCCCATCCCACTCCCAATGAAATCAGCAATGAATTTCCCAGTGTCTTTCCTAGAAGCCAGTCCAGTTTTTAAAGCTGCCTTCACATGGCAAAACTCCAGGTAGCACTCTCTGATCTTCCCAACACATCTGCTTCCACATTGTACAGGAAAATATACTGCACACCCCTGTGCCTGCAAGACATGAATCTGACCCAAAAACTACTGAGGTACTGGGTCTCGGTTAAGTGCTTTCCTTTCTCCTTCTGGTTGCTTAATTTATTACCTATTACATTTGCACATAAACAAACATTTCACTTTCAAATCAGGAAACTTGGACAATACACTTACAAAACACCTGGTGCTTTATACATTGAACATATACAGTGAAACTAAACATAGAAAAACTGGAGACCCATCTAGAGAAAGTAAGATTTACACCCTGGAAGATCTCACAGTGATGAGAAAACTTACTGACTTCATCCCGGCAGAATCTACTGGGACAAATCTTGTGCGGTGGATGAAAGTTACCTGTACTGGGATTGCATCTAGGGGGTATTAAGCTGAAGTCCAGCAAACCTTCGCATACTTGAACAGTTAGCCCACTTAAGGGCTTCTCCCAGGAACCAGTAACACACGGAAGTTATAAAAAGTAGACTGTATATTTTACTTTTTATCTAACTGGCTATTTCCTTTCAAGTATTCATTGGCAATTTTCCCAGCAAATATTAAGAATGAATTCACCAGACAACGTCAAATAAAAAGTAGTATCAAATGTAGCCCATCATTTGCTATGACTGTGGAATTTTGGACAACCATTGTATTTGAGGCATGGCTTTTGATCATGGCTTTGCTTCTTGCTGGTAACAGGTCAGAAAACTACGGATCTTTGTTCTTTTTCTATTTAACATGGGTGAAGGAAACTATTCAGATCATTGATTTTTGCATTTCTGAAATTTTGAGTTTTGCATAACGCTATTAAGATGGACCAAAAAAAAAAGAGTGGCTAGAATAAACAGAGCCTTACCTCGGACCTGCGCCCTCGGTTGACATACACACACACGGGGCTGAAGGCGCCGCTGCCACAGACATACAGGTGTGTGCGATTGTATGACTGTATCACACGCACAAAATTCCCACAACCATGCTGCAGGGAAAACAGAAAAAAAAAATCTCATTGGCAAATGTTATTAGATGTCAGGAACTCTATGTAATATACTCGGTTTATAATTTCAGTAGTATCATGAAAACAGTTACTGAGCTTGGTAGTCTTGGATTTGAACAGCTGTAAACTTCTATTTTCTTTTCATGCCATTTTGCCCAGTGTGGGAACTGGGCATTGATAGGGCACTATAGAGGAGTAATTTTCCCAATTCCACACAGCAATCTAATTTCCATCCACAGACTTCTCTATACCTTGCATGGGAAGAAGCAGTGCCTCTGCAGGAAAACAAGAAGTAACCTTATGAAGTTTCCTTAAGGATACCTCCAAAACAGTCACTTTTTTCCCTTACTTTTTGCATCATAGCTGGAGATAATCAAAAACCAAAGCAAGCCCAAATCTCAGGTCCCATTATTTGTGGAAACAAAAAATCTTTCCAAAACATTAAAACTCTGAAAAACACAAAGCAAGTTTGCAGTGAACTGCTACTTCCTATTAAAGATCAACGGTAACATCTTCAAATCAGCATGAAAATTAAAAAGAATGTTAAGTGGCACACAGTTTCAAACTATTGGATTTACAGTATTTTCCTTCCAGCACACCCCTTTCTTCTCTTGCTCTTTCTTTTTTTGACTATGATCAACTGTTAATGCACTTCAGGTTGAAAATAGATTTTTTTTCTGAATATTTTTCTTACTGAGATGCCAGATCTGCCTTCATATTCAATCATACAATCTTTACTAAAGACAGTGAGAATTGCTTGTATTTTGTGAGCGCAGGATTGGAAACCGTGTCATCAGTCATCTTCATGAAAATCAGTGGAGTTAATCCATGTTCAGCAGACTGAACAGTTTATTTATATTGAAAGGCATTC